TGCATTATTACCTCCTCGATAGCTGGTCAGTCAACACTACAATTGCGCTTCGATGCTTCGCTCCACTAGTACAGAAATTGTAGAGCAACTGCAAAAGGGCGGTAATATAACAGTACAGATATATTAATAAAAAACATTCAGATATTGTAAAAGTTATTTCGCCATATCGCTAATATTTAGGCTGAATGAGGTATTCCAAGGTCAATTTCTGAAAGCTGACATGCATGAAACAGGTTTGCATTTCTGCAGGAAACTACTGAAGAATATATATAAGAAAAACACTACCTGGTGAACAGTGATGTTAAGTGCGGTAATATCACTGGGGATTTCAAAGGTTTTTTGCACCCTTGTGCTAGTGGCCAGTGTTGGAGGTTGTCCAATCATTGAATTCTTTGACGTCCCTGTGGCGCTCCCTGAAGAAGCGGCAACTACACTTGACCGCGGACCCTCCTCAGCGACAACGTTGCTAGTGGTGGTAAGTTTATTCTAAAAGCAACACTTGGTCACTTAATTCATAAAATAAACTATCAACTAAATTAATACCAGTAAAGTTATAGTTTTCATACCTGGACTTCCGGCTCCTTTTCTTTTTTCACTTCTCCCTCAGAGTCGCTGCAGCACAAATTAGCCAACAAACTGATGTCCAACTTCTGTTCGTCAAACTCCAACAGATCATTAGGACATGTCTTGATCACAATCCTGTTGATCGTATCGTCGATCGTCGAATCTTTCGCTTCCTCGCCGCTTGATGCCACTACGGATTGCACTACTTCTTCAATATGCCTGAAAATAGACGAAAATAGCTAAGATGTCAATCAATCAGAGACAAGGATGACTTACAGTGGCTTTGCTTTGTTGTTAGCTCCCTCTTTCGCATTCCAGGATCGCTTATTCTTAAAGAAGCAGCTTCGACGCTTCGGTATTAAACTAAAATGCAGTTTTTAGGAAAGTAAAGTTACTTTAATGTATGTTGGTTTGAAAAAAAGAAACAAGCAAATAAGCTGTAGCAGTGCAGTATACTGATGAA